TGATAGCACTAAAGGATTTGGGGCATTGGAGGGCCCAGATGCACTGCAGAAGGGCATCAGAACAGGAGAGCAGCTGAAGATCACTAATGCAATCAGGACAAGGGAGATAAGGAAATGAGCGAGAGAAATATTAATCGTACTAAGAAAAGACTATTACGAGTTCTTGCCACTAGGCTTGTGAGCAAAACTAAATATGACCAACCCCAGTTTTGTGAATGTCACAATTCAAGGAAAGCTTCAAAGCAAAAAGACATTCAATTCTTTGTTCACATGGTCATTTTAGAAAACTTAAACACCAAAAAGCACCAGAAAGTAAATAGCAATGATCTGTAATCCACCAATCAGATACAGTTTATTGATGTTTGGTTTTATAAACATATATTTGACCACAGGCATCACATCGTATACAACTTTAAAATCAGTTCTTTTCACTTAATATCACAACATGAGAATAAAAATATAAAATTCAGAATGTCTGGTGCCACGGACACTGCTAGAGGCAAGGACAGATTCTCCTCTACAGCCTTTAGAGAGCACGGTAGCCCTGCCAACACCTTGACTTCAGGTGTCTGACCTCCAGAACACAGAGAATAGTATATAACTACATATATGTATAATAATAAATATGTATTTACATATACATATTTTACAATACGTGTATTTTTCTCTTTAAAAATCGAGGCTTTAGTGTCTGCGTAATATTCCCCTTCCGGACTTACGCAATGATTTAGTTAGCAATTTCCCATGTTAGATACAGAATGTCTCTGAATTGTCAGTGTCATGACAATAACAGTGTCACACTCTGCAATAACCATTCCTATATATAACTCTTTATGATACCATTTCCTTAGGGCAAATTTCTAAAAATAAAGGTACTAAATCAAAGGGCCTGAACACATTTTGACAGTGTCAGTCCTTTCTGAAAAGGTACACTAATTTACATCACCACTGCCATGCACAAACACCCACATTATTGCCTTATCACCAGCACTCAACACTTTTATCCTCAAAGCAGAAATTACTATGAACCTATGAAAATTAAATGAAAGTATCTCCAGAAAACAACTTCCACCCCTTCCAAACTGCCCATCTTAAAACTAAATGCCACTGGAAACGAAGAAGACTGCAGATGCACACAACGGTTTATCAGGGAAATGTTTAAACTGCATTGGAAAAATAACTCACAAGTGCACGCCATATTGGCAGGGGTCTTGAAGCATCAGTTATCACCAAATCCTGTTCTATGATTGAAATACACATTTATTGCAATGCATTGGACTTGGAATAACGGAGACCTCCAATTTGGTTAAATTATATAAAACCATTTTGTACCTTCCTCAAGTCATAATGTACACTGATTTTAATGCTCAATGAAAATCTGAGGTTGCCACATCAAACTGACATTACCCTCTCTGTGCCCATTATAAGAAATAATTTTCTTTACAACCCCAGTATTTTGGCAAAACTAGTAAGCACTTTAAAAGAAGGAATGCAAAAGAAAGATGTGTATTAACCTCTGAAGAACTGACTTAATATGATTTCTGCATGTCTTTTTGATCAATATTCCAACACTTCCAAATTTTTTGTTTTTTTAGTTTTACTATAAGTACAAGTCAATTCAAAGCAATTTACGGAGAAATTAACACCAGTGCTTCAATATAATAAAAGGCCCTTTAAAGATGTTTTATAATCAGCCTGAAAAGTACTCAATGACATGGATAAAAGTGTAAATAAAACTAAATCACATATTTAATCTAAGTTACCTATTTTGAAAATTCAATGACCAACAAGTTATTTCTATCTGTAAGACAGAAACGGTCTTGATATATTTAAAAATACTTTAAACTCATAAATTATAACTGATGAGAAATAATTACAGGTCTATTACTCATATTAATTTTTATAAAGTCTGTAAAATTAGACAAATTTTAGGAATTATTTTATCAATTGTAAAATAAAGGAAATGATATGATACTCTAAATATATACAAACAAATCTTGTAAATCTCGGTAAGATTTTGACAATGGGTTAGTCTTTATAGGACAACTTGCTTAGGGAACACACACGTATAACACATTAAAAATCAGAAAGCTAAATGTACCATCTCTCTTACACAACTGGCTAGCCAAATCCTAAAATTATTTTTCCTCAAAGTTTTCAACGCCATCCAAAGTAGAAATATTAATACATGTTCTGCTCAAGTTCTCAAAAACTTCCAACCCTAAAAAGCTGCAAAAATTCTCCTAGATCCTGAATTGTTCATTCTGTACAATTAGAACCAAAGAAGCATCTCAGCACAATTATTTCAGGGGTAAGCATTCTAAACTCTCAAAAGCCACTAAAATACACTTGATAAAAGGAATTCATTTCAAAACTAGAAAGACAGGAAAAAAACCAAACTTGGATTCTGCAATGTAGAAGAAAGCCCAAACCACCTTGATGATCTATGAAATAAGCTATTTTCCCTTAATGATGATTGGACTCATTTTTCCATGTCAGTTCTACGGCCACCAGAAATTACAACAAAACACATTTTTCCTCTCTTGTCATTATGTGTATATGTATGTTGTATGTGTGTGTTCTGTTTACCAGAGTCCACTGCCAAGGTTTTTAAATGTGTTTAAGAGCAAGTTGCTGATCCGATGGGTGGACAGGGAAAGGGTCAGTGTGGTGGTTTTGCGTAATGCCGGGCACATTAATGGCACTCACCAAACGCCCTATTTATTTTACTTGTGGCTTTCAGGGTTAGAAAGAAAAAAAAAAAAAAGAGGGGTTAAGACTTTTTCAGGAACAAAATATAAACCAAAAATAGGAAATTAGACAAAATTACCTGGATCGTTCAGGCCACTTTAGTTTATTTTCCTGAATTTCTGACATTATAAACCCCCTCTCTTCAAGGTCTTATCTGTTTGGTACATGACATCTCTTGGACAACTTGGGTTCTGAAATCTTCCTGCCTGCCCCTTATTTTTTAAATAACAAGTGTTTTGCTAAAAATATCGATACTTTCTAGAGCCACATGCCATTCCCACCTGAAAAGGAATACTGTCAGGGTAACAGGACAAGTTAAGAGGCAGCAACTGGACTGCGATGGCCCCTGATTATATAGCAATTATCATACACAACCTCACAAGGATGGAGGACAGCCCAGGAACCGGGCAGGCAATCCCTCAGTCCTGGCAGCAGTTAAGATATGGGTCAGGTGGAAAAATGTGACTTTTCTATACTTAACTTTAAGTGGGTATGATTTTTAGGACATTGAACCTCTTTTGCTACCTACCAAAAGGAAAAAACAAGTTTTCTCAACTGGGTGAATGAAGAAAGATGGTTTCCTATAATATTATAACCCCGAGAAGCAACCAGATTGCACATCTAGCTGAAATAGAAAGATTTCTGAAGCAATGATTATCTTGATATGGTAAGTGAATTAGTTCAATATAGTAATTCCTAAAAAAGCAAACTTGTCATTATTTTTAAAAATTTTTAAGCAGTAGGGAAATAAATAGCAAAGCAGCCAGTAAGGTTCAAGAGAAAAGCAGAACATGCCATTCGACTCTCCATCTATTTGAAAAAAGAAATGTCAGTAGCATTCCTTCACTTGTAATTAGAAAACATGCAAGTAAACAACTCTTCAAATAGCATTTTATAATAAAATAGAAAATATCCTCGGGTGAGAAAGCAATTTGGCTGACTGCAATTCGCTTAGGTTTTCACTACCGTACAGCTGGGTGAAGAGTAAAATCTCCTATTTATTTTGCATTGTTTGGCACAGTCTCGCTCCCCTACCTTCTCCACGTAAAAGTTTCCATTTTTCAAGTGGACAACGTGCAGAGAACTTGCATGTATTAATGAATTCCTCTGCAATTTTGGTTTCACTATCAGAGTTGAAGTTTGCACACAACACAGTGTTTCAACAATGATCTCAACATCCTAATGCTTTAGAATCGGTTTACCCTCTGTGTTCACCTATATCAGGATGCAATACCTGTGAATCTTTTCAGGTCATATTAAGACGTGCACTTTGCTGCATCTGCACACACACTCTCAAGTTCCTCTAAACTGTTTAAGGACTCAACTGTGTGGGATGTTTAAAAAGTACGCCAGAAATAAGTTCTTGGACTTCACATAATGTACCTGCAGAAAGAGAGTTATTTGGTAGGAGACCACAAATATCCTACTACGGAATTCTGAAACGCTTGTTCCTGAGTCCGAGTCCCCTTCTGCCCAATCTACTGAATTGTTTCCACCGAAGAAACGCTCCGCAGCCGCAAAACTTTCACCGTGATTACGGACGTACCACCTACAATGCGTGCTCAGAAGTCAAAGTCCTATGAAAACACTCTCCATGAGCATTTTGGTGAATTGTTGCATTTTTAACCCTCTTATTCTGCGATCCCCATCTCCACGGCCCCTAAATTCACCAGCGCTCACCGCCCAGGTTCGAGGTCTTTGACTCAGCGGAGAAGAATGTGGCTGATGAGTTATCTATTAATCCAAAAAACCTTGGCTAGAAAGATATTTCACCAAGAACTTTTAACACGGAAAGCCAAGGGACAGGGTACAGAGGTATCTTTTAACGAGAACTTTTTCCCGAGTTTCTTCCTTAAACTGCACCCCCACCCCACCCCACCGCCCCCGCAATCCACACACAATTTCTAGCCCCAGCCCTACGTCCTGACCCTCCGAGTCCCGATCATCCGAGTTCACCCAGGAGTCAGCTCTCGGCTCCACTTTTTAAATCCCGGGCAAACAAAGCTGAGCATTATACTTACAAAAGTCTTCGAAAAGTTCTTGGAGTTACGCAATTTGGGGCACGCAGACGCGCGTGGACACAAAAACACAAGCTCCCGAGATCCACCCTCCCGGGGCCACACTGCGGGGCTGCGTCCGGGGCACGGGCCATGCCCTAATCTTCCACAGCCGCGCCCCGGGCCCGCGCCCCCTTGGCCGCCCGCACTGGGTCCCGGGTCGCCCCCGCCACAGACAGAGCCACCCCGTACCTCCTCCTCCTGAAGGTTGGCCTCGCTCGGGGTGTTCTCCTTCTCGGCTTTGCCGCCGTTGTTCATCTTCCCGGTCCTTCCTCGCCGGGCCAGGCAGGGCTGGGGCGCCGGGTTGGGCGAGGTCGCGCTCGCCCACTGTTGCCTTCCCCGGGCGCCGGGGCTCCCTCGGGCGGGCGCCGCGGACTGCGGGGCTGGAGCCGGGGCAGTGGCTGTCGGGCTTGGGCTGCGGATCCCGCGGTGAGACTGCGACGGCGGCGGCGGGCGACTCAGGAAATGCGAGGGAGAGTCGGGGCAGGGCGCGGGCCGGGAGCGGGGCACCGAGACAATCGGGCCCCGGGAGGGCGACCTGGAGAGGGAGGGCGGGCGCCCGGGGAGGAAGGAAGAAGGAAGGAAGGAAGCGAAGGATGGGGCGAGGACGCGCGTCCCAAGAGTGAGTGCGGAGAGTTGGGGATGAGGCCGAGTTGGGACAGGGGGCTGCAGCTGCTGGAAGGAGGGGACAGGGGTGCCCAGAGAGGAGGAGGAGGAAGAGAAAGAGGAGGAGGAGTCGGGCGGAGGGGCGCGGGCCGCGGCTGGGACGCTGGGACCCGAGAGCCGCTGAGTGCGCGCTCCAGGCAGGCTCTGGGAAGTCCGGGATGGAAGCAGCTCCCTTTCTCTCGCCTTCCTCCCTCCCACCTCCTCTCCCTCCTCTCCGCGCCTCTCCTCCTCACTCCGCCCTCCCTGGACGTGGGCTGCCGGCTGCAACCGGGAGGGACGGGGCGCAGGACTGAGACCCCGCGGGAGGAGGGGCCGGCGGCCGGATGGCGCGCGCTGGGGAGGGGCCGCGGGCCGCGGGCGGAAGAGGCGACCCCAGCCCCGGACTCGGCGGCGGGTCGTAGGGCAAGGGCCCGAGAGGCCGAGGACAGGGAGGTCGGGGCCCGCCGTTCCCTCCTCTCCCGGGGGCCCCGGCGTCTGAGCGCCCCGGGACTTCGGGGACCCTGCCCCACCGGGGCCCGGACCGGGAGCTGGGATGTGCGACTTTTGTTTGCCGGCTTTTACCGAGGGATTTGCACCCCTGGCCCTAAGCCCACCCTTCCCCGGGGCAGACCTGGTTCTTCCTCAGCTGCTTTAATGACAGGATGAGAACTCGAATGACACCGGGGCAGCCCACTCCCGGCCGGCTTTTTCAGGACGGGGTTTCAAACCCAACTCCAGCGGGGGTCCTGCGACGCGCCCCGAGCCTTCCCCCCACCGGCTTCGCTTCCTGGGCTTCCCGCGACCCCCGACTCCTCTCTCAACTCTCATCAGACCCTTCTGGGATTGTTTACCTGGCCTCTGCCACACCCTTCGGAGAGCTCCTTCCTGGAATAAAGAAAAAAACCTAAACCCTGCCCTATTTATCTTTTTAATCCCACGGCTATTTAAACAGGCTACCGGGTATATAGTAGGCATTCAAATGTTTGTTTGCCAAGTGAATATTCTCCATTGCTAGCAGAGCTGCGGTCCTTATGGAGGAACTTCAGAGGCTGGAAGCACGCTTGAAAAAGAAAGGGGGGCCTGGGCTTTGCACCAGCTTCAGAGGGGTTGCGTAGCTTGTTTCCTCATCCGTGAAATGGGAACAGTTGAAAATGTCCTCCAGAGTTTTCGAGGAGACTGCAGGTTGTAGAGCTATATGCAGCACCCAGCATTCATTCTCCATTTCAGTTTATAATACGTGGAAGCTAACATTATTATTAAGGAAACTTCCATTTTTTTTTTCCGGGCCTTAGGAAACTTTTCCAATACTCGATCATTTAAGCTTCTGTTTTTTTGTAAAAATTAGGGTCTCACTTTGTTGCCCAGGCTGATCTCAAACTCCTGGCCTCAAGTGATCCTCCCGCTTTTGGCCTCCCAGACCGGTGGGATTACAGCCTGGAGCCACCGTGTTAAACCCTTAGATTTGACTGGTATGAATGAATAAATGTGGAACTACACGTATCAGTGGGTTCTGCCCCACTTCTCCCCGGAATTCTCTGCCCCAGCCTGCTGTTTCTGTCCTGCACCAGTCAGTTTCTAACTCCAGTATTCGCTTAACTGTTTCTCCCCACCCCCTCCAGACATTCTTTATACTGGTTTAAGTGCTGCTGGCGATAGGGTGGGGGAGGCTGTGGGAGATGCAGATAAGGTCCCTGCCTGTAGGGAGTTAAAAGTGGGATGGTGGCTCACACTCTCCATCTCAGCACTTAAGGAGATAGAGGCAAGAGAATTGCGTGAGCCCGGGATTTCAAGAACTGCCTGGGCAACCGAGCGACATTGACACCCTGTTCTCCACAAAGAGGGGAAAAGACGGACAAAAAAAAGTGGTATGGACCAGGATGCTCTCAGAGCCTTCTTTCCAATTATAAAAAGCAAGGAAAATATTCGCTGTAAGATTATTTTGGAGAGAAATACGGTAGTGATACTTGGATTTTTCAGATTGGGTTTATCTGGGGGGTTTGGAGATTTTGAAACAGGAAGATTTCCACAGGGAAAAAATGTTTCTTAATTGCTGTCATAATGTGATTTCTCTCTAAGGGGAACAAACTTGTATCCTGGATGAAAATAAATCTAGTCTATTGAAAGTGCAACCCAAGACATTCAGAAGAGACAAGGCTACAGTGAATCTGGAAACTTCGCAGGTGTTTGGTTGTATTGATTACCTTAACTGGGAGCCCTTTGCACTGTCTGCTTCTCCCTCAATTACATGAGGAACCACGAGGGGGCAATGTCTTCCTGAGCAACAGCTGAGGGGTGGTCTTGGGACCCCATGGTGGCCCACTGTGTCCTTGGCCATTCTTGCCTGGCATGGAGTATACTCCACAGAAGGGCATGGTCTTGTTGGAACCTGGCATGTGCCCAACAAAAATGACAATGTAGTCCATAGTTCCACTGAGACCCCACTTAGGAGCAGATGGACTCTGTTGTGTGATTTCAGGATGCCGGGAGAACCTCTCCTGTTCCCACCCAAGGAAGCATGGCTTACTTACAAACAAAGAACCTGAATCTCTTTGTCTTTAAGCCAAACCGGGACTTTGTCCATTGTTAAAAGTCAAAAATCTCTGGGATGAGCAACAAAAATAAGTTCCAGACTGGGCGTGGGGGCTCACGCCTGTAATCCCAACACTTTGGGAGGTGGGTAGATCACCTGAGGTCAGGAGTTCGAGACCAGCCTGGCTAACATGGTGAAACCCCGTTTATACTAAAAATACAAAAAATTGGCCGGGCACAGTGGCTCACGCCTGTAATCCCAGCACTTTGAGAGGCCAAGGTGGGCAGATCACAAAGTCAGGAAATCAAGACCATCCTGGCCAACATGGTGAAACCCCGTCTCTACTAAAAAAATACAAAAAAAAATTAGCTGGGCATGGTGCCGCACGCCTGTAGTCCCAGCTACTCAGGAGGCTGAGGCAGGAGAATTACTTGAACCAGGAGGCAGAGATTGAAGTGAGCCAAGGTGGCGCCACTGCACTGCAGACTGGGCAACAGTGGGAGACTCTGTCTCAAAAAAAAAATTAGCCAGGCTCGTTGGTGCACACCTGTAATCCCAGCTACTCAGGAGGCTGAGGCAGAAGAATCGCTTGAACCCAGGAGGTGGAGGTTGCAGTGAGCCACGATAGAGCCATTGCACTCCAGCCTGGTCAACAAAAGCTAAACTCCATCTGAAAAAAGAAAAGTTCCAGGAGAAGATCCTTGTCTGTCTTATTCACTGTTGTATTCCCAGCATCTAGACAGTGCCAAACACATAAGAGGCACTGTTATTTCTAAATGAATGAGCATTTTAAGTCTTATCAGTTATTGATTCTCAGGCCTGAATGTTATTATCGGATTTTTCCAAGATCCAGCAGGAAGGACTAAATAAGTGGGGGTGTCTTAGAACAGATAGTCACCGCGACGGCACTAGGCAAGGTCTTGGCAGTAGTTTTTGTTTTTGGTTTTGGTTTTTGAGACAGATTCTCGCTCTGTCACCCAGGCTCGAGTGCAGTGGTACGATCTCGGCTCACTGCAACCTCCACCTCCCCGGTTCAATCGATTCTTCCGCCTCAGCCTCCCCAGTAGGTGGGACTACAGGTGCACACAACCGCACCCAGCTAATGTTTTTGTTTGTTGTTGTTGTTTGAGGCAGTCTTGCTCTGTCACCAGGCTGGAGTGCAGTGGCACAATGTCAACTCACTGCAACCTCCTCCTCCCAGGTTCAAGTGATTCTCCTGCCTCAGCCTCCTGAGTAGCTGGGACTACAAGCACAACCCAGCATGCCCAGCTAATTTTTTTTTGTATGTTTAGTATAAACAGGGTTTCCCCATGTTGGTCAGGCTGGTCTTGAACTCCTGAACTCAGGTGATCCACCTGCCTTGGCTTCCAAAGTGCTGGGATTACAGGCGTGAGCCACCAGCCTGGCAGTGGTCTTTATTAATGATTTTGCAGGGGGGACCGTAGATAGAGAACTTGTGCAGAATGGAGCAACTGATAAGGTTTCAAACAGTAAAAGATAAAATCACACCATTGAATTTGACATATCAGACAATAAAATCGACACTGAACCAGGGATGGCTATATTACATAGGCAGTGGTGAGAGTGACATTCAGGGTGTTTTCAGAAAAGCATATGGGGTTGGGATAATACGTTAGGAAAAGAGCGATTCCTGTTTTTTGTCCTTTCCATGAAGAATAGTTGAGCTCTTTGAAAGAGCAATAATGTTTTACCAACAAAACTCAAGGAAGCCGGGCGCGGTGGCTCAAGCCTGTAATCCCAGCACTTTGGGAGGCCGAGGCGGGTGGATCACGAGGTCAAGAGATCGAGACCATCCTGGTCAACATGGTGAAACCCCGTCTCTACTA